GCGTATATTAAAGTTGTTGCAGTTAAAAAGCTCGTAGTTGGATTTCTGGTTTGAGCGTCCGGTCGACTTTATGTCAGTACTATGGATGCTTGGGCCATATTTTGTGAGGATGCCTTTCTGCCATTGAGTTGGTGGTTATGTGGACTTGCATCGTTTACTGTGAAAAATTTAGAGTGTTTAAAGCAGGCGTTTGCTCATTTGAATACATTAGCATGGAAAAATAATATACGACTTTGGTGGTCTATTTTGTCAGGGTAATGATTAATATGGCACCCTTTACGGTTCAAGTCCTCACCTTGTCAGAGACTTGTATAAAAACCAACATACGACATTTGATCTTTGTATTGAAAATGAAGAGTCATCTACCAAAGAGAGCCTACGAAGTATTGAACTTTTAACCAATAAGACGACTAATGTCGGATAGAATTGTCGTATTCGCCAAGTTATCCATACATAACAGTACAGTGTTGCCAGAAAAACTCGACGAAAGTAGTACTCGTGAATAAAATAAATTTTTCGAAACCTGGGGATTGCAACAATAGATCCAATTGGATAAAATTGACTGCATTAATCAAAGATTGTGCTCAGCTGTGATTGGCCCAACTCAACTTGAAATTTGAAACTTGGACGACCATGTCAAAATGGCATTTGACGAAAGGCAGCGCCAGCCACCATGTAGCAGCGGCGTTACACGAACGCTGAGCGCAAGGCGGGGGATGCGTCCGTCCTCAACGACAACCAGTTTAGCCAACAGCACGCCATCCCTCCAGGGACGTGGAAATGATGGCGAGCGAAAGAAGCGAAGTTTCTGGCCAGCCGCCGCCATGGCTGCTTGGCAACACTGGGCGGCCAGGGGCGGAAGTCATTGTTCCCTTTCAAGGACGACCTCCTGGGGTATATGCGTGACCCACCACTGCGCTATCGCGTCGAACGCTTACGCTTACCCTTGAACTTTTGTATATATTGGTTTAATTGGCTTATTTTAGGCCAATCAAAGAAGTCGACCTCCGATTCGTCGTGACAGGATTTTTATATTTTTGAGTCGTCCGCGTCGACGAGTTGTACCACTCTACATACAAAGTCCCATATTGTAGGCAGTGCTACTTTCGACGAGTTTTAGATAGATACACTACTTGCAGATCGTCGTCGTCGCCATCGTGATGAAATACTATGTGTACAGTATGTGCGACATATATACACTACATATATATCGAGGACATGGTCGATGTTGTTATCCTCGTCCTTGTGCCGCCAAGATATCGTAGCGCCGTGCGACCTGGTGTTGGTACAAGTCCGAGATGACTCCGTCATAATTGCTTGGGGATCCAATGCGATGGTACAACACGAACACAGCGCCTAGAAACAGCATCGCATCTACCCGGTCCAGGAGCCCGCCGTGGCCCGGGATGAGCGTCCCTGTGTCCTTGACCCCCGCGAGGCGCTTCAACAGACTCGCAAAAAGGTCACCGTACCGCGAGATGGCGCCGCCGACGAGGGCAAACACGATGCGCCACACATGTTCGCGGCGGCGCTTCGCGATGAGTTCGTCGTTGATGGCGATGGCCGTCATGTTGATCCAGAGCGCGTCCACAATGAGTGTGGCGGCCAGCCCCAAGAGGATGCCGCC